AATTATTGTAGATAATGATGTATTAGTACAAATATTTTAATATAATTGATTTTTGTTATTTTAATAATGAATGGATGTAAGGGAAAATTATTATTATTAAGGAATAATAACTATGTATAGTCTGTAAAACATTACAAATATATATTACCCTTTCAAAACTTGGTAATCCTTACAATACATTTCAAAAAAGGGAGGTCTGATATTATGCATTTTATATGTTTAAAAGGGGTATTACCCTTATGTACTTTTATTACATTCATAAACCTTACAGTACCTTATACAATGTTGTACTACTTTATCAGAAATCGAGGTCCGATAATATGCAAATTACTTTTTTTACTTTTTTTACTTTTTTTACTTTTTTTACTTTTTTCACACCATTATAATGTAATATAACCTTTTAGACTTTTTCCCGATGAAGGGTTGTACACAGTAGTCGCTCCTTAGGTCATTGCCATCATTGTATGCATTTACATCCCCATGGATCTCACCTGCGTCACAACAGTTTCCAAAGGATGATTCAACTTCTACAGGATTTAAGCTAGTGTGCTGAAGAGACGCCGTGAAGGATGTGGGCGTTTGCTGTAGTGGTACAACGACAAAAATAGCAGCAGATAACACCGATTCTTGTTACTGTTGGCTCCAAGTGTTGAATGTGCAGTGTGCCAAGCTGGTCGTCAAGTGATGAGAGCCATGTTACTGGCATCAAATCAGCGGATACAAATGTTTAGTAACTTTACAAATCGTGATCATCGATACAATATTCAATGAGCAGCCTGACAAAATTCTTGGTACAAATCCGGTCCCTGCATTTGGGACGAGCCCCATCGCAACCTGGCCGTATTCAAAGATCTGTCGCAGCACGCTTTGTAGGATACCCAGAAGGATAATAATCTTCGACGTCTTGAAGCGAATCAACAGTGCCATTGACCTTAATAGAATTCTGAAATGCTAGAGTAAGGAATCTGTGGAGTATAAAAGTTCTTTACAGAACTTACATCGCTAGCTACTGGCGTGCTCTCCACTGTTCTAGCAATGGTATCGAATGTGCTGAGCTGTATTGTATTTCCGCGCGCAGAGCCACTTGCGAGTTCGCTACGAAGGTTCTCCCTTGCATTCAACCTGAAATCCTGTCAGATGGTAGTGTATGTCAAAATGACAATAGGCACGAACGATGCGAGCATGCAGTTCACATAGACTGAAACGTGCTTTGTCAAACAGTTTATTACAATCACAGACAACGGGATGCTTACGTCTTGGTAGAACAAGATCAACAAATGCATCCAAATTAGACGTGGGCAATGCAATTGCTCCGGCAAGGCCGATAAGACTCCACAATCCCGTGATGAGACCTGTGCTTATGCTGTACATAATCAAGCGCTTCACGACCGACTCTGTAGCTTTGCACCGGGACCGTTGGCGCCGAAGTAGGACGACGAGAGTAAGTGCGATGACGGTGTCGACAAGAGTGATTAGGGTGTTAAGAGCGATAATAAGGCCTTGGAGTGTCGCCAATTGCCCAAAGTTCGTGAAATTGAAGGCCTTTCCGCAGAAAATGAGGTTGACAGTAAGTAGTGCCGAAATGAGCAATATGTTAATACCCGTCAGGATAACGTTCTTGTTACTCACTACGAAGAATATGGTGAGTTTAACTTAGTGAGGTGGTGGACTAACACGTACGATACCAAATTCTCGTGACAAAGAGAACTTGCACAAGTGTGTCAACTAAAGCTTGAAGGATGACAGTTATCTGGTTATTCCTGGGTAGATAGGACATGAGCGAATGCGTCTAGTTACTGCTGAGTACCCTCACTTGGGCACATGGTTCAAGAAAGAGGTGTCTGCGAAATGCTTCACAAAAAGTATGTACACAGTGTGGCAGAGGATTCCTTGATGAACGGTGTCAAGTATCCATGTAAATAAAGCGTACAGCTGGAGATGCCATTTGTCCAGCCTCCAATATTTCTACCAGTTCTCACATTAGACGTTTCCGATTGATAGACAGCATACGACAAACCTCAATGTAATAGTACAGTTGGACCACCGATGCACCCCACAGTCTGATTATTCGATTAGCGGGACTGAATCAATAAGGCATGGACGGAGACAACATACCCCATAGAAAACCTGGTAATCCGGTTGTTCAGCTGATGTTCATCTCTCGAAGATTGAAAGTGTCTTACAGGCCAGTGAGAAGCAAGAGTCCGATCTGTCAGGGTCAGTACCATTGGTGACATCCGAGACCATTGTGATAATCTACGTACAGTGCTATCCAGAGATGGCATACTCGCACTGTCAGCCATACCTCCCTGAATCGAGATCAAAATTGACGTGAATTATTTGCAGATTTGCGTAAGTCGGATGTCAATCTAGGATATTCTCTTATAGTTCTCTGAACGCTAAAGCGTATCCAGCTTCTGCGTTGCATACAAGTCGTTTCCGTATTAAAAGAAGAGTCTCCTCATTGAACAATCGCACTAACGACCATGAATCAAATGTAGCCCCAATTCTCGTGTTCCGTCATATCTTTAACTGCACTGCATCTGAATGTGAGCTTTAGGTCCGTGGAACCTGAACAACACAGAAGCAATTTTAACCTACTCTCTAATCACATGGTGGCGCGAGAAGTAGAGTGCATGCGGAGTACTCATTGTCAATGCCCGCCACCATGAGGCCGAAACTAAGGACGGCATTCCCGAGTCGGTGCGAAGGTTTCATGAAGAGATAGAGTGGATGCTTTCGAGCACCATAACATCCGAAACAGCCATACCCTCCTGAGCTCCATCAATGCGCGGCAAGCTATATCCTAGATGTCCTACTTGCTTTATGTGGGACTTCGCCTTCACAAGGATTTTCCAGCCATCGAAATCCTCAGTTTCCATGTCCACGTGATATCAATGAAATTACTTGTTCACCTCGGGAGCAATTGAAAAACTCTTATTTTGCCTCTTGAGCAGAATAGAATGGAACAACAAGCCGTAACCTAGAGGACAAAGCGGCCCGTCCAAGTCTCTGCGAGCAGATGACGAAAGTATTTGTCCGAGATCTCCACTGTTTCAATTTTCGGCTTAGAATAAACTAAGTTATGGATGACCGACTCACGAATATAGTACACAGAACGGTGTTCGGGGTGCGGCTCTCCAAGTGTTCTGGACTATCAAACTTCGGGCGGAAGGTGAACTATATATACAGCTTCAACGGAAAAGGTATTGGGCAAGCGAAAGGGTTGGTCGGAAGAGCGCACTTTGGTCATATGTGCCTCTTTCACCGGACCTATGGCACGCAACTTAGTCGCATCGGGAAATGTTCTGGAGAATGAGCCATTGCCTCAGTCAAGAGAAGAACGTTCAGACAGGAGACCGGGAAGACATACGGGTACTTTGTGACGACCGTTTCTTCGGCATTGCAGTGTATTCTTAGAGCTCCGCACCTGGCCGAGTAACATTTTCAAACAGAGAATGCCACACTAACATCCTACTTTCGCCAATTATACAGATCTAATATATCGAGGGGAAATTCAGATGAACGGATGGACAAGCAAGACAGGTTGAGCGTTACGTCTGTAGGGTGATGACTCAGCTAATATTATGTAATAAAGAATTAAAAGTGTGGTTAAATTTAATTTTTATCGTCGACTTTTCCCCCTCAGCATCCCATTTTCTATCTCAATTTCCCGATAATTTCAGTCATATTTACGCCTATTCTGTGGGTGTATATTATGATACATGAATGAATTGATGTTTTTGGGCGATCCCTGCTATCCATCCATCGAACAGGCCACTTTAACAGCTTGAAGTCGTATGTGGTATTTCCTCGATGACTGCCCCCGCCTGAAGAAACACGCGCAAGACTTGGCTTCGCGGACTTCCCTCGCGCAAATGGTGCCTCATGAGGAAGCGTTGCTTAGCGGTAGTTAGCATTTACAGTAATACTTCAAACAAGTCACTATTGTCGGAGGTTCGTTTCTGGCAGATACACAATACCGTTGATTGCCTTAACTAGCATTCTCTGTAGCTGTGGCATTATTTTTAGCCCGTTAAACATATCGGGACGGACTTCGATGGATGCTTTCCCGGGGATTTCTGTCGTGTGCGAGTTCTCCGTGATGTTGATGATATGTGGAAGTCGCCAGATGTGGTGTAGACCAGATGTTGTGGGATGCGATGATGGTTGTACGTATCTGCATTTTGTTAGGTTGATGTCTCCATGTGGACGTGCTGATGATTTTACATTTGGACGTTAACAGGTTCACCCAGAAACGTCGTTTTTAAGTTTCACGTACTTATCAAACTGCGGTACATGTACAATAATGGTTCGAGACAGCTGACAAAATAGAAGTACTCCCTGTAAAGGCATGCAACCGAGCTCGGTAAACAGTTAGGCACGACAATTGAGACTATCAATAGGAATTTTTGAGTTCCCGAGGTCACCGAGCGTTTCCGGGCATGACCAGGCAAATGTGCGAGCCGCTGTGGACGCACTAACGTCGAAAGCCAAGAGTTCCCGTACTGGTGGCTATGGTACTAGGCATCAAATGAAGATGCTTCCGAACGTCTTCGAGGAAGCCAGGTTCGGATGGAAGCTAGTACTCGGTCTGCTGGCACAGCCGACTTCGCAATAAGTCGTGGAAAGTTGCGACAAATCGATTTAGCATCAGTGGGAGTTCGGGAATTTTTGACTGGCCGGAACGACGTCGAAGTATGATGGAATACTTTTGATTGATTAGTGTCTCAGGAATCTATCTCCATCTTCGAGACTTGATTGTGAACAGGTCAGTAAATCAAATTGTCCACTTGCATGCTAGTTAAAGTTTAGGAAGGTGACTGCTTGCAGGTGCGTTACGTTCATACGTGTGAAGGCGAACACTGGTTAGGATATCCCGTGAGTTGTTGCGCGTGAAGAAGCACAATTTTCAAGCTAAAAGTATTACTAGGAGTTTATGAACCGTCAAAAGTGTACGAAACGTACGACAGGCCTCAAACGCTCCCGCAAGAATGAGCTATTTAGTTCTATTCCTTTGCTCCTTTGTGAGTGTTTTCTCGGAACGAGACACCATTTCCTTATTTGTGGTTTTGGTAGACGACCTTCATTATATACCACAAATGGGAAATTCGACCAGAACAATTGGTATCGACAATAATGTTGCTCGTCATTGCTCCATGTGTTACAATTCTTACCACCAAAGATTTTCATATCTCAATTTTATCTCTCCTGATCGGATATTTCATGTACTACAGCTTAATTCTTTTCTTTGTTGCTTTGTATCGCTTGTCTCCTTTTCATCCATTAGCCAGTTATCCCGGCCCGCTTCTTCCAAGGATATCAAGATTCTACCTTGTCTGGGTAGCAACGTCTGGGAAACAACATCTATGGTATCAGGATCTTCACGAACAGTATGGCTCATTCGTACGCGTTGGTGAGAGTTTGATATTCCTTAAAATTTTGAAAAGATTATTCACGTCTACTTGCCAAGGACCAAACGAAATTTCGGTATCGGATGTTGACGTTGCCCTAGACATACTCGGCCCTAAAGGAATGCCCAGAGGTCCAAGTAATACATTCCACTTCTCCTCAGTTCGCGCCGTTGACCGTTCGTTCTATCATAGTGTATGAAGGCCGGAGTCCCCCCAATTCGTCGACTGCGCATTCTCTTGTAACGACTCTGAACCCGTCTGAGCACGCTCGCAGGCGGAAGGCATGGATGAAGGCGTTTAGTACAAATGCCTTGCAAGAGCACGAGATCGTCGTATTTAGACGGACAGAACAGCTTTTGAGTATTCTGGAGCGGTTCTCTAATCACTCTAAAGAAATCGACTTAGCATACTGGTTCAGGCTATTTTCGTAAGTGATTGTCTTGTACAGTTTAAAATCGTAGTCATCCGTTTTCAGGTTCGATACCATGGCAGATATCACGTGGGTTATTTAACTTATTCTCGTTACTCAAGGACAGTGATCCGATTCTGTTGTGCAGATTTGGCGGAGGGTTCGAACTTATGAGAGACGGCGACAAGGACAGATATCTGGAGCTAATTCATGCAAGCGCAAGGTTCGTGATTATTGCAGCATCAGTACGACGGATTTTGCTCAGGACTGCTTTTTGATAGAAATATCGCGTTTCTAGAACACGTACCATGGCTCGGAGCTGTCGTTCAGCGTATTCCTTATTTTACAAGAAAGATATCACAGTACCGGCAATTCGCCACTAAAACATTACTGGCGCGGATGCATAAAGGCTCGGCTAGAAAAGATCTATTTCATTATTTGGTGAGTCGAAAAACAAGAAGAATCTTGTCCTGGATAGTCGTGACCCTTGAATTGCAGCTACACGAAGAAAGGGAGCTTCCAAAAAACGTACCCCTTTCAGAGCTTGCCTCAGATGCTTTCCTCGCTATCACCGCAGGATCGGATACTACATCGACAACCTTGGCTACTATCTTTTTCTATATTCTCACACACGAAGAAGTCTACACAAAGTTGAAAGCGGAGGTGGATGATTTGTTACCACCGTCTCGCAGGTTCGATGATATCAACATGAAAGAAGTTAACAAAATGAACTACCTTACCTGCGTTATGTAAGTTGTCTTTCCATCTGAGAGAAGGTCGCACCTAAGTCTAACCGGATAATTAGACATGAGTCGCTGAGGCTTCATCCTCCAGTTGCGTCGAGGTTACAGCGAGCATCCTTCCCCGTTTCTGCTGAATGTTGTGTCGGAAACCGGTATGTCCATGTCGTGACTGTCGAACTCGTCTAAATATTAGTGTCACTATTTAGAATTATTCCCGGTGGTACTGCTGTCCAGATTCCTGCGTTTACTATTCAGAGAGACCAGAAGTACTTCTCTCCGGACACGAGCTCGTTTATTCCCGAACGCTGGCTTCGCATACTCGAACCAGAGAAACCTGAATCAGTAAGCGATAACCACGATCGCCTGGGTCGTCAGACGAAGTTCAATACGAACGCATCTGCATTCCTCTCGTTTTTGTACGGCCCGACAAGCTGTGTAGGGAAGAACTTAGCGATGCTGGAGATGCGCATGGTAATAGTACGGATGATACAGCGGTTCAACATGCGTCTCGCTCATAAACTTAACAAAAATTATTGGGACGAGGAGAGAAAAGATTTCTATATTGCGCATGTCGGGAGGCTCGTAGTTACTTTAGAAAGACGCTATTAAATGTACAATGTGATGCAGTCGTTATCAGGCCTCACAGTACGTCCACATAAAGTAATTTGGCACTTCCGAGACAAAAAGCGATCTACATGTATATCGATTTACGGTCGAACTGAATAGATGGCATGACTAGCTAATGAAGACTCAGAAACACTAATCATTTCCACCTTGAATATCGCCAAATGAAGATTCACTTTGAGAAATCAGCACCATAGAAATGCGAGAATGTCTTCAGTTTCCCTCCCTCTAAACCTTTCTTGGGGATTTCTTCTCTTTACATGATCCGCCTGCGTGATCCGGCTCCTTGAACATGAAAATGTATTGTGCTCGTCCTAGAAACGACCGTTACCGGCCTAGTTCAAGAATGCCAAAAAAAAACTCGAACCAAGAGCACGATGAGTTGAATTTCGAATACTCATCTTAACACCGTTACTCTTCTCATTGTGAAACCAAATAGAAAAAGTGTGCAATATTGGTGAACGTTTTGTCGAGAGAACGTTACCTAAATCACAAGCAGAGCATGCATATATTCGCAAGGACGTCGTACCAAACGGATAAAAGTACAGGCATACTAACAACAGTAATCATTACACTAATGGTCGCGGATTCAGGTGGTCCACGGTCCAAATGACAGTACTCTTCGGTTCTGACTACACTTTCGACGTAGATCGGTTGAAGCCCTGATAAACACAGCTGATCAATGAACAATTACTTTCCTTAAAGATTTAAATATACGCACGGCTTGCCCATCGAAATCATCGATTGTGCTTATATCAACCTTGACATTGAGTCCACTCCGGGAAGGATTCTGAAACGAATTGTTAAAGGATTCTTCAAATTCACAATCTGTTAACCACTCACATCGTTAGCAACAGTCACACTGCCATTGCTCCTAATATTGCTGTGGTCAAATGTGGATAGATGAATCGTCTTTCCACGGGAAGAGGTGTCTGCAAGCTCGTTTCGAAGATTGGCTCTGGAGTTCAATCTGTATCGAGGTCAATGCACATCCTCACATCGAGCCGGAGTTAGTTACTTACGAGGCAAGTAGGCAGTTGACATATACTTGTTGAAGTTAATTAGTAAATAGTAAGGGAAAACGAAAATAGTAAAACTTACGTCTCGGTAGAATCCAGTCCACAAACACATCCAAGTTAGATGCAGGCATCACGACGACACCAACAAGACCTACGATGCTCCAGAGACCCGTGATAAGACCAGTGCTGATACTGTACATAATAAGGCGTTTCACAACAGAATCTGTAGATTTGAAATGAGAACGCCGGCGGAGAAGGAGGACAACAAGTGTCACTGCAATGGTGGAATCAACGAATGCAATAAGAGCGTTCAACGCCGTGATGAAATTTTGAATTGCCGCAAGCTGCTGAAACGAGACAAGGCCGACGCATTGTCCGAAGAAAGCGAGGTTGAGTGCGAGAAGCGCGGCAATCAATATTGCGTTAAACCCTGTCAGCAAGTAGCTCCTGTCGCTCACTTGAAACTTGTAAGTTGATGGTTTGAAAATAATTAAATACAACTGAGGACGCACAATACCAAATCCGCATCACGAAAAGGATTTGAACAAATGCATCGACCAGGGCCTGAAGAATAATGACCGTTGTCGTACCACTAAAATTACAAGTTATAACTGTCGTAAAACGGGAGTTTGACTAGACTTCTTACGGTGGGATATGATTCAGGAAGGAAACATCGGCGAAGTGCTTGACAAAAAGGATATACACCGTGCTACATAGAATGGCCTGGTGGACAGCGTCCAGTACCCATATGAAAATAACGTAGGCTTGAAGTTGCCATTTATCTGTTTTCACATATCTCTGTTTGTATTTCCAGTTAATAACGAGCCCATAATGTCAAAAAGAATTTGTATACCTCTACGTAGTAATATAACTGTACGGCGGATGCACCCCATAAGCTGAGAGGCGAAAGTTAAGGTCGATACTCCATCACAATAAAAAAGAACGTACGCCATTGAAAATCTCAATGCAGTGGCCAGTTAGACATTTGCGATATGATGAAAAGTAGATAAGAAACTCACAACCCGCCAAGAACTAGAAGACCAATCTGCAAATTGCAATGTTATTAGAAATACCGGCCCGTATCAGCGAGAAAATAGTTCTCTTGCTCACTGTAGAATCCAAAGAGGGTATCGCAGGAGTGGTACTCATTTTGGATCGAGCTTGTCAGGGATCCCAACAGTTACAGTGATTGCTCGAAGGGGTGCACTGCTAATGAGTAGACGGGTTGCACGATCCGGCTTTTACAGTGCGAAGCAAACCTGACTTTAACTATCGGGAACAGAGTGGCGGTTTGTATTGCGCGCCGATAGACTTCTCAGATCAAGGTCGCACAACGAATGCTATAATTACCTTCACATGATCTCACACATAACCTGATTAGATGCATGCGAGATAGAGACAGTATATTCGCAATCTTCTTCCGTGATCCATATGCACCTTAGAACTCCGTTGCGGAGCTAGTATGATGAACCTTAAGTTTGGGAAACGGATCTATAAATGTCATGATAGAATGAGCCACAAAGATTGGTATCTAGGGTGCCTTGGGGGCGAGGAGCCGCGGCCGATTTCAAACATGCCGAAGGCATGAAAATAGCGTATTCTGCAACTTCGAATAGGGTCTGTTTCATTTCTCCAAAATCTGCAAAGTAACAGTGGAACTGCAGACTGGGTCAGAGTGCTGACGAGCGTCAATAGGGGCTATATGCACTTATCATGAATCAGGCTTCCGAAGTATCCGCAAAATAGTCTGTTCGCTTTTCCTCCGCACCTTTCCGCACTTCTTATAACGCACGCATTATAAGCATTCCGACCCTCGTGCACAACATTGTGATATTGACTCTCCGCCATGACCGACGACCTGAAAGCACTTGGGAACATTATCTCATCAGCTATTAACAGCATCTGCTCCGTCTGTGAGAAGACCGGAAAGGGTTTCCCATCTCTCAACGACCCAATCCACCCGTCCGAGTTTACACCTCAAGGAATACGGAATGACCCATCAGTCGCTCAGTCCATCAACCTCATTGTGGCGGCGGCATCGCAGTTGCTTGCAACTGTGCGTCCGCCTGCAGCTACAATGACACTGTCAGCTTTTAAGGTACTTGAAGACAAGCTCTAATGACTCGCAAACTGAATCGATCAAATATTAGTATACGTTACCCGCTGCACTTGGCGTTGCTGAAGCAGGCAACGTGGCGGAGATTCTTCGAGATGCTGGTCCAGAGGTGATGAGCAAACCATATTGACATGGATTAGATGCTCACGTATACAATTTACAGGGACTACACATTAACGAGATAGCCGCTAAAAGTAATATGCAACCGCAAAAGCTTTGTGAGTAGTTAATCATAACCTGCGCACATCGAAGAAATGTTCACCTGTACCCATAGCGCGTATTTTACGTTATCTCGCAACAGAGCATTGGTTCCGCGAAGCAAGGCCTGAAGTTTTCGCGAACAACCTCCTGTCGTCACTGCTGGACACCGGAAAGCAGATCACGAAAGACTTTGAGTAAGTTAGTTTCTAGATCAGTCAAACAACGTCGGTTGAAGATCTACTTACAGACCGAGCACAAAACACGATAATTCTAACGGGATGTCAGGGCTTGCAGGCTATGGGTGCGTGCCTACGACTCCCTTCTTGTCTTACCATTGTCAACGTGGGTTGTCGCTAATTTATCAGAGCTGACGAATGTCTGAAATCCGGTGCATATCTTGTCGAGGCTATGACTGAGCCGGATACGAAATTCTCTGACGAGCCGAACTGTGCCGCCTTGCAAAAGGCAATGAAGACAACGGAGACGCTTTTCGAGTACTATGACAGGCCGACGGAGCAGTTTCGCCGAAAGAGGTTTGCTATTGTAATGACAACAGCCAACAGAATGCACACGCCAGAGTCGATCTTAGCAGGTATGATGCAATTTCGCATGGAAGAACCGTACTTAGAATCCTGTCCAGGATTCGACTGGGCCACTCTGCCCGAAGATGGTATCGTCGTTGATGTTGGCGGAGGGCTGGGACACGTTTCACTTGAAATCGCAAAGGCACATCCCAGACTGCGTATAGTTCTCGAGGACAGGCCACTCGTAGTCGAGGAGGCAAAGCGAGTGCGTGATTATTCTATGTCGTTGTACTTAGTGGCTTTTGACAAACTATTGACATAATTGACTGTTGACAGTTTTGGAAAGAGAATCTTCCTGGTCACGTTTCTGATGGTCACATGCAGTTCATCGGTATAATTTTTCTTTCGGGTCACCGAATGGTTTTTCTTCTACTTATGTACTGGCAATGGCACGTTCGTAGGAACAGATTTCTTTGATGCGCAGCCTCAGCTACCAGGTCCTGTTTCCGTATTCCTCCTGAGGATGATCATTCACGACTGGTCGGACAAGTATGCAATTATGCTCTTACGTCGACTGCGCGATGCCGCAGGTCCATCAACTAAACTTGTGATCATCGATAACATACTTGATTATGCATGCGGTTCCGGAGACGAGATTGAGAGACCGCCTGCTCCCCTTCTTTCGAACATGGGTGGAGCGAATGCTGTTTCGTATTCCGCGGATGTCGCGGTATGTCCCACTCAATCAAGCTTCTTAGCTCAAGCTCACGAATTTGCACAAGGTATTCGGCGTCTTGAATGCAGGAGACCGTACAATTGGTGGATTCAAAGATATTCTATCTTCCTCTGGATGGAAGCTACAAGAAATTCGCAGGAACTCGAGCAGCTCCATATTCAAGCCAGCTATGATCTCAGTACCGGTGTGAGTAAATTCTAAATCGTCGGCACTGCATTCCGTCCGTACAGTGCTTCTTAGCCGAACTTTCACCTATTTGACATTATTACTGTTGTACCTCGAAATAGCATGTGAAAATATACGTGAAAATATATGAAGCACGATTAGAGTTCTAGCTACGTGGTTCTTAATTAAACTATCGGCATGGCCTTCGTCTGATGCGATAAAGGGTTTAAGCGGGTAGAACATGCGTATCTACGAAGCAGTAAAGATATTGAGGGAGTCGTTAATCTTAGGAGGATGCTCTCAGGAAAGGAGCTAGAAAGTGCGCTGGAGACGTTGCCGCACTTCAGCATTGGTCCCGACTTCTCATTGAGGCTTCGTGCATTCGCATCAGGCCAAGAATACGCAGGAAGAACCAGACTTTTGTTAGGAAGATCAATGAAGTCACCAGCATGAGAACTACGGCAATAACGCTAATCCTTTATTCGCTTTGGAGAGTATTGCAAACATTTAGGTGGGTCGTTTTAGTCTTTGAGGGAGGGATTGACATTAATATCAGCACATTGTTGGTACCAGTTTTGAACGGGGCGGAAACGTCAAATTCACGATGATTTTAGGTACAAAAATGGATAATCATTGTTGGCTTCTGGCAAGTATGGTATGGACGCTTGCTTGTGGAGTGGAGAAGAGGAAGTGGCTGCAGTGTTCAACTTAGAAAGCCTTCTTGCTTCAGAACAACAGCAGGCCTTCATGCGAATCAAGGGTACCTTCTTTGTTCAGCTCCTAAATGATAAAAACATTGAATATTCATCTTTTTGCAATTAGGACGGGCGAGAAATCTCGGGAAGCTCTTAAGACAAGATCCGCCGTCATTGATAACTCTGAGCGGATCCGCGAAACAATACGCGCACACGCTTGCAGAGCATCTTGTAGGAGAACAAACTGTTGTAGCCCTCCTCATATCACTGTTAGGCAAATTCTTTAACACCTGATGGAAGAATACATCAAACAACATAGACGATGGACCCCGAGTACTTACCAAATCCACTCCCAATGAAATCTTTTTTGTCTTAAATGCGCCCCAGACTCAGCGGTTGTTCCAGATCATGCAAATGTTTAAAAGCCCTTCCGAAGAAGCAGTCAAGCCCTATCTTTTACATTGATTACTAGTGACGAACAATGTTTTGGCAATGCATACAATTGACGCGCATACACAAGGTGAGAGGCAGCTTGTTCAGTACCGATATTATCAACGATTATTTACTCGAGTGTTCAGCCTGCCGGGTTAATGGCCGTGCTCTGGCCTTATGGTATGCTTCTCTATGGATACCAAAAAGGAATTGACGATTAAGGCGTGTATCTTACAGTGTATGGGCTCACGGCAGCTGCATATTCTGTAAGACTTCCGTATAGTGTGTTTGTCCAGATGCTTCAGAAATGTATCATCGGAGCCTTCCTCATGCGCAGCGCTGCCTGCACAATCAATGACATATTTGACAGGAAGATTGATGCTGAAGTAGGTATGTCTGCGCTCAGTTACTTACATTCGTCCCGTTACTTCACTGCCGTTTATGTTCCAGAACGAACGAGGAATAGGCCGATAGCTTCGGGAAAGATCTCCGTACTTTCTGCGCTTGTATTTTTCATTTTTCAGCTATTTGCGAATGTACTGTTCTTTTCAACTCTGAGGGACATCGCGTGAGTACGATCATGATACTTAACCAAACCTTTCTCGAGTTCGTTAATTCTGTCGAAGTTTCTTAGCGGCAATGATTCAGCTTCTACCTCTGTTCGTACATTCCAATACTTGTGAACTTCTCGTGAGACTGAGAGTTTATCACTCCACTCAGATCTTGCCTCTACCCACTTTTCAAGAGAGTCACGTACTGGCCTCAAGCGTGGCTAGGCGTTGCAATTAACTTCGGGTTTCTCGTTACTTGGTTCGAAATAAACTACGACATACATTCGATGACTCGTTCGGCAGCAATAATGATGTCTGGACTATGGTGGTACGAAAATTTCGTTGAGTATATATTTTGCACGCTCATCCGAAATATATGATAGCTGGACAATGCTTTACGGTGCGATTCTCGTCTAGTCAACTCCGTAACGTGATAGTTGACAACGTAGGAACAGACACTGTTTATGGTAGCCAAGATCGAATCGATGACAGGAAGATCGGAATCTGGTCAACCGCACTGTTATTCGAAGGCAAAGTAAAGCTGATGGCATGTTTCTTTGCCATATGCCTTCTCTCTACATTGTATGCATTCGGAACAATCAACGGCCATGGGCTTCCGTATTTGGTAATTTCAGTCGGCGGAGTAGCTTTGTACATATCCTGGGCTATACTCAATCTCGACGAAAGCTCACCAAAAAGTTGTTGGCGTAAGTCCTTTCGCCTTAAACCCTTTTATTATTTCTGACGTTCAGAAAGTGTTCTTCAAGAGAAGCTCCTACTATCTTGGTGCACTTATCTTTTGCGGGTTACTTGCTGATTACGTTCGGATTATGGAAAGCGGCTCTCATTAAGCATCGACGAAAATTCGGCAACTGCGGTCTTAGACTAGAAACGGTAGTTCAATCATACCTTGTGAACCATGCAACATCATTTACTAGTTACGCAAATTAGAAGCTGGAGTGTGGGTGATGTGTATCTATTCCCAGATATTAAGTTGAGATTCAGAGCTTTACTCTAGCAGGTCCGCTCAGCATGTATTTGATTGTCTATATTCCTCCCTTTCACAAATGTATCGAGTCCGGATTTATCATTTATGTCAGTGCATGCTGCAGCATGCATATCGATCCGCCGTTCCATGATCGACCCATACAATCCTCCGTGAATTGTTCTTACCTTTCTTACATCGAAGTTCGAGTATCATTGTCATCGCTATAAACTATAACGCCCCATTTAAGGATGCACGGTTTCACCTACCAACCGCTGAAAAAAATCCCCACTGTGTTTTTTTTACCAAGTCAGAGGTGTTTTAAACCAGAAGGAATCTACACCTGTATGATGTCTCATATGTTTTAACTTTTCTTTACTCTTGCTCTGAAATGGAAGATCTGCCGACCCTCTGGTGTAACTCCAAATGTATTATGTAATCATTTACGGACACGGACAGCCACGCAATGACAATCACTGCAACTGTTCGAGGACATATCTTCTCAACCGTCGTCCTCCACTGTCGGGGCTTCTGTATCCATTTCTCACTTCACCCTATCCCATTTCGTTATCTGTGCCCTTGTCAGCACCTATTTCTCCACATCATTTACGCACGATCTTCGTTTATTCCTCCCATTTGCGTTTCCACGAATGGTGTCACTAGAAGGCAAAGGATTGATCACGATGAGACGGAAAACGGAGAAGGAGCGTCGTAGCAGACGTCGGACGCAGACAAAAATTCCAGCAATTCGCAACAAAAAAAAATCGATAACTGTCCACATAACCTAAACTGCTTTCCGTACAACTTCAGAGTGTATTTCCCGCCATTGCTCGACCACTTTGTTCGCATCATATGAATATTGGTCTGCATTGAATCCAGAACCCTTTGCGATGCGTTCTTGGCCCGAACTATCATGCCCATGGCGTTTTAGATTGAGCTCCAGCTCCATCGCGGCTCGCAATTTCAAATCACGTGCTTGTTGTGCGGGACCATCAGGAAGATGAAAAATGTACTGATTATCTCTGCTGTCTTTTTGAATCTTGGTCGCACGTCCTTTTCGCAGATGCTCGTAAGTTCGGAGCGACTGACTAAGATCAGATATATCCGAAAGCCGTGACAAGAGTGCGCCCAAAACAGCGGAGTCTTCTAATGCTACTGCCGCACCTTGCGCCTTGTAGGGCTACCCGTCAGGTGTGATGAAGCGTTGAGTATGCTGTGCTGACAAGTCCATTTAGGTACTTACCAGCATAGGGTGGCACGAGTCCCCAAGGAGAACGACTCTTCCGTCAGGATGAACCCAGGAATCTAGAGGCTTGCAGTCCATGAGTCTCCATTTCATTGGGTTATTCACCAACGAGAGCAGCTTTCTGACACTTCCGATTTCCGGTTTATTAGAAAATTTCTTCTCTACGATACCAAACACTTACCGTGGCTCAAAATCTTTGAAGCTATCACGCATCTGCTCGACGTTGCCTTGGGCCGTCCATGAATTCACCGATCCATCGTCTGGATGTAGCATCACGACATTGTATTCTTGTTTCGCTTTCTATGAGAAGAATCTTTGTTAGCGTCGCTATGAATGTCTAAACTATGAGGCGAAATCGCACGATTGGGTAACCGACGACATGTCTCCTAGGACCCATCCAAATAGTCGTCTCCCGAGCATCGATCAAGTTACTCAACTCCGTGTCGGCGAGCATATCATTGGCTTTGATCGTTGCTCTGTAAGCAGCGTCTCCCGCGGGGGTAAGAGCATCAAAACTCTTAGAAACAATGCTCCTCACTAGACTTTTAAGGCCATCTGCCCCGACTATCATGTCGCCTGCCAGAACTTCGCCGGACGTCAATGTGACGTTTACGTTCGGGTTTGGAATCGGGTCAATCTTCTTGACAGTTGAGCAAAGCCGTATAGTGACGCGTGGCGATGTGGCAACAAGGGATAACAGCATCGAATGCAGGTCTGCTCTATGGATATTGTAATACGGCGCTCCATATGTCCGGCTAATGATGTTGCCCAAGCACCGATATCCAATAACCCTTCCATCATCGTAGCGAAGAAGGTTTATTCCATCTGGCTTCACTCCGAGTTCGTCTAGCTTATCACCAAGCCCCCAACGTGCAAGCAGACGCGAAGCGTTAGGTGAGATTTGTATACCAGTACCGACTTCACGGAAAGCGTGGGCTGATTCGACGACTGTGACAGAGTGGCCAGCCTGAGAGAGACAATGCGCCGCAGACAGGCCGCCGACCCCGCAACCGACTATGATTACATGAAGGCGAAGATGCGTTTCATCTTGAATGTCCATGTGAGTCAATGGACAGTCTGGATTGTTCTGTTGAAATGAAGTGACGCAAGATGTTAGGACCTCCTTAAGAGATTTGCATAATGTATATTAGCCGTACCACAGATAACCTGCTTATGACGCACTACAGCAAACACCTGGATTATTCAAGGTAAATCACATGGCGCAATGCGCGTGTATCTCTAGGTCCCATTCAAGGTAAAATGCGACAGACTATTTGGAGACTAAAACAATCGAGACTTGAGGGTTGGCTGGAATGTGCAGGAAAATCTAATAATAGACACTTTCACAAACATGAGATTATTGTGAGTCACTTATGCGTAAACTCGTCATGGAATACAACAGAAGAAAATGACATGAACTTACACAGTCCGAGGTCCTGGCTGAACGAGTACCATTCCAATGCTTCCGATTTGATTCTCATGCAATTAATGTCTGTCCTTTTGCCTTGTGTATGTCGTATTGGATCATCCACGAATCCATTTGGAAAGCCGGACCCATTTCGAGGTATAGATGTTCAACTGAGGCAAATACCCCTCCCCATTCCATGTTATACTTAGCGAAGCCCCCCTTTTTCTTTTCACTTGTGGCGTTCTCTTCTATTACTTCCTGTGATTAATGAAGAATGGTAGCCAGTGGCGTTGAGAGTAGGAGCGGGTGCGCATCGAGGAAGCGATTTGAAATAGGAAGCGGTGCGTCGTTCCTTCACAGCGTTTTCTTGATGATACCGGCTTTTGATACAAGCCGAAATAATGATTCCACCCGCGCGCGCTCTACTATCTGCTGTCTTCCATCCTATCTATTTCCAGACATCATAGAAGATAGATGCACTTTGAAACTCCGCAATAATGTGAATGGAGTCATGCATCTTACCTCAAGCACGCTGTTACATGCAGGCAAGTTGTATTTATTTTCATTATCAACAGCTGGGATAATTAATATTTGACCGAGAACAGTATCATTAAGAAGTTGATGCATCGAAACAAAAAGAAGGGAATATCACCAACACACCACCAGCATTAACACTTTCCCCGAGCTTCTGAACTCAATGATACACTGCATAGATCATATGACGATTTTTTGTGCTTCGGAGCCCTCTCAGTGGTAGTCGTTTCGAATGATAAGCATGCTCTTAACTGGCCTTCCGACCGAACTATTGTGGCTGTCCTTTGTACGAGCAGTGAGCAATCCGAAATGAACGGTGCGAAGTCGGATGATCCAATCCAAAGCGCTGAAGAGAACAGGGTAGAAACCAAAGAGGATGGTACTGGAATTGTGCAGGTACTCTCTGCGGTAAATGAGGTCCCAGATGGAGGAAAAGAAGCTTGGCTGGTAGCAGTCGGAGTAAAATACTCTTGACCTGTGTCAGTAGTTGTGCTTGTGCTAATCCTTCGTTTATGTAGGCATTCTTTTTGGCGCTTTGTACATTTGGATATTTCTATTCGTGGGGAGTAAGTTTGTGAATACTTTGCGAGCATTTACTCTCGCTCATTTCGCAACTTCAGGCCTACCAAGCCTACTATGAGACTGTCCTCTTGCCTCACAACACACCTTCGCAAATGTTTGCTTTTCTCTGTCACAATATTAACGAGTGTCTGACATGCGCTGCATTTTTTAGTGCTTGGATAGGATCTCTCCAGGTCAGCGATATTCGACAAAATTCATGGCACACTATAACAGGGACACACTAACGACTTAATTTCTTGTCGTATAGTACTCCTTGGTTTTTCTCCCGGTTCCTGATCATTGGTTTGGTTGACTGTTAGAGTACTCTGACGCACATTACCAGGGAATTCCTGCTGGTCGCCTTTTCGACCTTGGATACTTCAAGCAAACATTAGTATGCGCGTTGGTGTTAATGATAATTGCCGATTTCTTGACTGCAGAATGCACGAAGTATTGGCAATTTATCCTGTGCCAGGGTCTTCTACTCGGAGTACGTCCAATCGTTGTATTAAATCTGATCTGAACGATGAAATATAATTTTCCCATTGTTATTTCGAGAAGGCGGCATCCGGATTCATATTTATAGAATGCATTACTGTTATCTCCCATTGGTGTAGGCACTTGGTTCTTTACCCTTGAACGCTGCTAATCACACAAGAATACTAGTCAGTAGCCGCAAGCCTCTCGCTTTTGCAGCAGTTTCCTTCGGCGGCTCTTTGGGAGGTATCATCTATCCTATAATGATACGCACCATGCTCCTCGAAGTAGGGTGAGTGATGATACTAAACATTTTTTCCTAGATATGCCTTACTAGAGGCAACAACAGATTTAAATGGACTGTACGAACAATAGCGTTCATAAATGTCGCTGCCTCTATATTTGCAGTGTTTGTAAGTAACGTATTTTCTATGCCTTTTTTAGATGCCTACAATGAATACCGCAACGTAGACAATGAACAGTCATCTTCCCGCTGTGACTTCGCTTCCGAAGCTCTTGGACTTTCATACGCTTGCGTCACCCGGTTATGTTCTATATGTTGCCTCAACATTCCTCGCTTTCTTGGGGTTATATACTCGTACGCACAGCCCTTACGCCACTTATTGACTGCTAGATGTGAAGACCTATGTCATAACGTAGCTCTTACATTTCTCACCGTGAGCGCCGAAGCTATTGGCATGAATGCAAACCTTGCATTCTACTCCGTCTCGCTTGCCAACACCGCCTCTGCCGTTGGCCGCTTAATAAGTGGAGCAGTTGCAGTCCGCTATGGCTCCATGAATGTAATAATAATATGTACAGCAATGGCCGCTGTCTGTACATATGTCTGGCCCTTCTTATCGACGGATGGTGCATTCATCACTGTGACAGTTTTGTATGGGTATATTTATCTCATTTCATTAAGCAGTCGTTTTGTAGATTAATCTTCAGGATAGGATTACATCAGGGGCTTTCATCTGCCTCGTTGCTGCACCTGTCGCATACTTTGGCGCGATTAATGATGTTGGTCGGCGAACAGGCTTGCAGATGACTATCATGGCTATTGGTATGTCCTTTCTTTATCCAATCATTAGGATTTTGAACGAAACTGGGCTTTTTCTTGTTTAATGAAGGTGCTCTTATAGGGCCGCCCATTTCTGGAGCGATAAAAGAACATCACAGCAGCTTCCACGAAGTCGGTATTTTCGCAGGTAGCTACTTACACATTACGAGCACATGTTTCTGCCAGTTTAACAATTATTCTTAGGAACTGTCATTCTCACGTCCATCTTTCTTATGCTATCAAGCAAATTCTACATTTCACATAGTATAATAAGTGGGAAATTTTGACTTCTCCACTGAACACGTCAAGGTTGAAGTAATGATATCACAAATGTTCTTTCTAACCTAAATCAAGCTATGCTGAGCTTGCTTACTGGTTTGGTACATTTGTTGAGCTATATAACTGACCAAGACCTAGGTATTGTTCATAAGGACAAAAAAAAGACAATAAATGAGACTAAAATAAACTTCTTTTATTTTCTAAGACTGTTGCAAAGTAACTGCAGTACTGAAAAGAATAGTGACTTAAAGTGATTGAATAATTATCTTATTTATGCACAATTATATATATATATATATATATATATTCCATTTATGTGTATGTACTTAATCTAGGTGCTCAGCTTGTAATATTACTATAATCAGTCAGAAAGCTAACAGTATCTTTGTATTCCTGACATAGTTTTATCCAGGCTAGGCAAGCAGGTCTTACAGAGCCAGGGCTACAATCATACTTGAATCAAATTCCCTTCCCCCCCTTGAACTTGTTTTTAAGAAGGATTCCTAGCTAATAGTTTTAAAAACACATTAATTTACAGTTCTGCATTCTCATTTCCAGCTATTATATAGTGTAAGTGTGAATATGCCTTGTTCAAATTGTAATAACAGATGAGAGGAATAATAATATACAAATGGATGAATTCTGAGTAAAGTTAAGTTATTAGAGCTATATAATTTATTTTGAATTCTTTATCCTGTTTAATGTCCTAACATCTTCTTTTTAATAATTACTTTGTCCTATTATATAATAATGTAGTAATTATAATCTTATATATTTTCTCAGTGTATCAAATGAAAGGAAGTTAGGAAATTGAATGCTTCTATTAATATAACTCAGACAGGTTTCTAAAGAACTCAAAGACTAGTAAGTTATAAATTGCTAATTCAATCCTCTCTATCTTGTGTTAAAAAGTTACACAGTCTTAGTCAATTTGCTTAAAGTATACTAGTTGTCTTCTCTTGTCCCTTTTGAGCACCTTGACAAAATGCTATTTGTCACCCTTGTACAGCTCAAGTTAGTAAACATAAACTATCTTGTTGTTAAGAGTAGAAAGTTAGAGCTAAGTTTTAACTGTTACAACTTAGTATATTAATACTTTATCTTATTAGCCTTACCTTGAATGAAAACAGTATAGTCTGTCAGAGATACTGAAAATTACAGTCCCTATTATTAAGGCAGGAGCTGACTATTAATTGACTTTAGAAATTAACACTCTAGGTAAACTTTTTGTAATTTTAGAAAGAGTTTCTAAAAATAGTAGTTATTTTTACTGTAAAGGAATGTTTGGCCAAACAATTACAAACTCAAAATATGACTGGTCTTTTCTGTCTGTCTCTCAGAAATATGCAAACAACTAAATAGTACTATAGTTACAAGGAAAAGGTCTTAGTAAATTATTTTTAGTATTGTTAGACTTGTAGAATATAAAATTTAGTATTAATTTTACATAACAGCTTAATCTTCTAGGATTATTTTGTCTCTCAACTATTAATCCAAACTATTTGTCAAGTAAAGCTGACCTTAACCTTCTTGTCACAGATGTACAGTTTGTTTAGAAACTGTATTATACACTTTCATTATCTAATTTTATAAAAACTTAAATTCTCTCTCTTCTAAATATATTCAAAAATAAAGTAAAGCTTTAAGAGTATATTAGGGACAATTGTAAGTCTGTGTTTTACCTTGTTAGTACTACTACTATTTTATTAGAAGACTATAATAGTGTTGTTAATAAAGAACTGAGAGTTTATAAAATAAGTGATCTTTACATTGTAAGTAATAATATCTCTTTTTGTTTTAAGACTACTTAAGTATATTCTTACAACAGACTGATCTCTCTATTTGTAACTTATTATTACAGTAATAATTCATTATGTTAATGTATATTTTATTAAGAGTTATTATACTATATATAATCTGTTATGTATATTATAAAATAAAAGGTCAGATTATTACAGTTTATAGTAAAGGCTATCTTAACTCTGTATTATTAATTGACTACTAATATCATAAAGGATAAGATCTGTTACATAAGGAAATACACTTATACTCTTATATTGTTTTTGTATTTTGCTAGAAGAGTATATATAGTCATATAAGTATAGTTAGAAATGTGGATCAAAATGACTTAACTAAGGTTTGCTAATAGTTGTATGTAATTCATTTTATAAATAGAAATCTTATGTATAATCTGGATCAAAGGTTTAGTTATGTACTAGAAGGACAAAAGAGTATAACATTTCTTTTTTGTCTTACTTTTATATACACATACAGTAAAAAAAGTAAAGAAAGGAGAATATGATAGGATTTCTTTTATCAATTTATGCTCCCTTTTTCTCTTAGTATTGTGTATGTAAAACTTGAGAATGGATAATTACAAATTTTCAAAAGTTTTGTTCTACTATTTTTCTCTACTTTTATTATACTGTCTATTTAGTGTTAGTACTACTTGATTAAGCTCTTCAGGCCTAAAAGAAAACAGTAATAGAACTTAAGTCAAACAACTAGTTAACACTATTTTTATTCTTTACTCTTTTCTACAATTATAGTATGTATAAATAACTGTTATAACTTATAAATACAGTACCTTTACTATTGTACTTCTCATTTTAACATTAATTATTCAGATTAAGCTCTTTATGATTAAGAGACAATACATTTCAGTAAGCTATTAGGACTGTTCTGTCAATTTTACTATTAAAATAACTTTGAGATACTAGTTATGATAAAAATTATAAAAACTAAAAATACACTCTTAGTATTATTACTGTCAGACTTTACTTGCTTTACAGTATAAGTGTGTGTAGAATATGTTTAGCTTTATGAGTGTTTACATATATAGAACCATTAATGTATCTTAACCTTGTTATTACTTTAGCTGCTTCCAGCCCTCTACTAGTACACAGTTGTAATATTAAATTATAATTCTCAAAACCATATAATGGTATAGTTTTGTAAATGCTTCTCTATTAAAGAAAGTCTATAAATAAAAAGTGCACCTTTTAAATAATAAGATTAGACCTGATTAGATACAGAATAGACTGTTTAGTGACTCAAGTACTACTAAGATACAGTCAGTCATTCTATATAGTAGTACTTATGTTTAAGTTTAAGAAATGTACTCATAGTATGACTTTAATAATTTCTATATAGACAATTTAATCTCTACAGAGTTTAATAGATTCTATCTTTAAAGAGAACAATAGGTTTTGTAATATAGTTAGAAAAGATAATGAATGAAACTTTTGCCTGTATCTCATAATATAAATACTTTATATAAGTTAGCATCCATGTAATCTTATTCTTACAAATTAATTTGTCTTAAACAGATCAGAATATTAATATTTTCATATAGACTATTTTGTTCTGTAAGAATGGAAAAAGCTCTCCATTAAATATTTGTAAACCCTTGTACCTATATTCTGGATAAATCTGTGTATCTAACCTGAATATACTGTATATGAAGTTGCCTGTGAGCCAAGAAGTGCTTCCCTGCCTTGAAAACTAATAGATAATGTATTCATTTCATGGGCTGTGACTGGGAATCCACTTTCAACTACTGTTTTTCTGCCTACACGCCGAAGGTTGATTAGGATGCGACATGCTAAAACAGAATGCATGACTCGTTCCAGACTGAAAATCACTAATTAAAAGTTAATCATTAATGTATCAACATTGCATACCTAGTGAGTGTATTCAAAAAATCTGGCTGTAGTAACAGGTACATTATAAGCTAGTAACACAATGTAATTTAGAGGATATTACATACAGGCAATGTCTGAATTACAATCACATTTGCAACAGACAGAACTAAAAGTAACTTAGTACAGGTTTGCAAACTAGTATAATAGGACTCACTAAAAAGATATAGGTAAAACAATGAGCCTACAGAAATATTAAATTAGAAACAATAGCATACAATAAGGAATATTCATATTCATTCATTCACCATCTCCATAAACTGCTTTGAACATGGCTGAGTTTCCGTGCAGCTTGTCTATGACACAAATGATTAGTATGCTTGTCTACTTCTTCTAAGAAAATTTGGCACATGTCCGAAAGCCAACAACAAGCATTAAGCCTAAAATGCCTAATAGATTGGTTTTGATATAGTTAATGTCTCTCTGAAAGTTAAAAAAAAAACTTACCAGACTCAAATATCATAAGGAAAATCCAATTCAATGTTAGTATAGAACTGCCACCAACAACCAGACAACCAGCAATTCCATGTGGAAAGGGTGAAACTGTTCAGGTTTCTGAAGTGAGAATTTTATTTACAATACAATGGGCTGCTTACATTCTAGCGAACCTAAGAACTTTGCCATAAATACAATCTGTGGAATCCATATTGCCAATGTCCATATAGTAAGGACAACTCTAATAGGTCTCTTTCTCTCCCATATTGCCCATGTACGCAGTACCAGGATAACTACAAAGTGTAAAACCCACATTAACAATCAATAATGTACTCTATTGACAAGATAACCTTACTTTCTGCAAGTAGGATCCCAAACGTTTCTAGCCCTTACAACCATTATATGTATATTAGTATAATGTCACTCTTGTACTAGAATACTCACAACCAGTAAACTTGTAAGCGAATTCACACTGATTGTTAGACATGGCCATTTTCAGCTGGTCTGATTTGGGTAAGACTCAACACATTATTAAGTCTGTAAGGTAGAATAGCTTACGCAAGAGCACAATCGGTGTATCAACAAATGGAAGGTATCTTGTAAGGATGAATAGGACCTTTGCAATAGACCAAGGCATTGTCCAAATCAGCTTTCGCTCTGTCTCTATAGTGAGCACATATTCATAAATCTATTAGGTAGGGGGTCAGAAGGTTCAGAAAGAAGAGAGAAGGGTACAAACCAGGATGCTAAGGCTGGCAACTAAGCCATGACACTAGGGTCAGCAGTTGAATTTTGTGTGTAGGGACAAAGATTTCATACAGTCTATGTACTGTAGAGTTGTTTATTTCAGAGAACAATATTTAATTTCAATCAACTCACTGTGGTAATTTTTGCATGCTTGAGCAGCACTGTTAGCTCTTGGATTTTAGCTTGCGACGCCATGAAATGGAGTGAAGTAGTGGGGAGATGTTGAGGCTGACCCGTGTGTATTAAAAAGGACGGATGGAGTTGTTTAGACAACCTGTGGGAAGTGAGAAGTTTGTGACAACCAAAATAACGAGAGTCTCTTTAGCAGATAACACCTAGCCTGTACAGATACTGATGGGGAGTACACTTCAGTCTTTTGATCCCTTTCTTCCGCGGAATAGACGGCAGAACGTTAAAAAACCGTTGTGTGCGCACAAGATGTTCTTGACATACCATATGGAATCACCTTGCTAAGGCCTGCGGTGGTAATTGGCCTTCTTTCGATTATTTCAAATTGATTGATTTGCCACGAGCAGACAAAGCTTACCTTATAGAGACTTACATCGGCAACTTGACATCCTGTTCTACTCAGGCTTTGTTGGCTATGTCCTATTTGGCATAGGTAACTGTTCTTGATAAAATTTGACAAGACCAGTCAAATTAGATGTATTCATCAGTATTTCACAATCATGCTAGTGGCAACCATGTCACCTATGCAAGATAATCATTATCTGCAGTACGATGGAAACAGCTGAGAAGACTCGATGTATTCTTTAGCTTCCGGATCTTATTCTGCATCTTCCGGTATGGAAGCACATACTGTACCAGTTCTTCCCGCAAAATTTCAATATCAGATATATGTATACCACACATATCCATGAGTAGAAATGGGTGTCAGGGGTTATACTTTACCGGTTACGAAACATACTTCCTATCAGGAAAATTTCACATCATCTCGTCAGAGGAAATGGTTGTCAGATTTCAAATAATACAGCATGTTGTACACTGCCGTGCCTATGGCAGGCAGTTGTAATTATCTACAACATGTAAGTATGCTCCATTCTTCACATCTTCTGTACAGCCACAGCTAGGTTCAAGTGCCTTTTAGTCTCCGAAAGTTGTGAACAGAGCTCTACATCCGTTGTACTGTCTTGATATTGTACACTTCTCAAGTATGCCTGAGCCTGACAAAGCAATTGAGCTCACTCAATGCCCTAATGGCGAGGAAGAACAGCAGTCCCTCAACAAAGGACCTGAAGCAACACATTCACATTTAACTGCACTTGAAGATGATGTTCCAGATGGTGGAACCGGAGCTTGGATGATGGTGGCAGGTGTAAGCATCTTTTTGTGTTGTGGTTGTGAGAGTCAATTGAAAGTCCGTCATCGAGATAGGGTTTCTTATTGTCTTTCATCACATTTGGGTACTTTGTTTCGTGGGGAGTGCGTGTATTAATTCTACTTTCTCTGTTCAATAACATCTTATTCTCTTTTGTGGAGAAGACATATCAGGCATATTACGAAACAGTCTTGTTGGTTGATAATACACCATTCCAGATGTATGTTCTTCCAGTTTGTGTAGCACGCATGCAATTCGCTGACACACTATTTATAGCGCTTGGATAGGTTCTATGCAGGCAAGTATCCTCCGGATCAATCTACCGTAAATGACCCTAATATTCACTTCACAATAAACTAGTATTCGCTCATCTTCCTCCCCGTACGTTGACTTCCTTGTGATGATACACTGCAGACTAAGCCATATATTAGGGCCTTCTGGCTGGCCGCCTTTTCGACCTTGGTTACTTCAAGCAAACATTAATATTTTCGCTTTCTGCCATGACTATAGCAAACTTCCTCACTGCCGAATGTACGAAGTACTGGCAATTTATCCTTTGTCAGGGGCTACTTCTTGGGGTGAGTTGCTGTAAAGCCTATATATCTATAACTATCAATATCTGACCATGTTTTTACTCGATTGAATCAAAGCTATCGGCAGGCTGTATATACATTCCGTGTATTGCAGTTGTCTCTCATTGGTGTAGGTCAAAAATACGTGTTGAAATGAAGAAAATAGTCCACTGAGCATCTACCAGTCAAGCTACGTCGACCATTGGCATTTGCGATAGTTTCATTTGGCAGTTCTGTGGGCGGGATTGTATATCCTATCATTATACGCAATATGCTCCCGGCTGTTGGGTAATAGAACCTTTACTAATTATAAGCGCAAGATTTTAATGTCCCAAATTTCAGGTTCAGATGGACAGTTCGAGCTATAGCGTTTATCAACACCGCTGCATCAATCATTGCAATTTTTGTGAGACTCCCTCTCTCTACTTACATGCTTTAAGGCAGTAGATTATATAACACTTATTTAGACTATGCGCAGTCGACTTCCTCCTCCAAGTGTACTGCCGCAGTTATTTGATGTTCATACGTTCACCTTGCCTGCATATGTATTTTATGTTCTTTCAACATTCATATGCTTTCTTGGTCTTTATACTCGTGCGTTTTTTATTCTGTAAAATACTCCTTACTAACTAATCTCCTAGCACTTACATTCCTTAGTGTAAGTGCCGAGTTAATTGGCATCGACTCCAAGTTTGCCTTTTATCTTGTTGCAATTGCAAATGGAGCCTCAGCAATTGGTCGCCTGACTAGTGGAGCAATTGCTGTAAAGTATGGCCCTGTCAACGTCATGGTTATTTTTACAGCCCTTGCTGCAGCATTTACTTACAGTTGGCCATTTGTGGAAACTAAGAGTGCATTTGTTACTGTAACGGTTTTGTATGGGTATGTTTGTAAAGTTGCATATTTATGAGTCATTTAGGATGATCAAAGTATAGGATTACGTCTGGTGCATTTATCTGTCTCTTTGCTATCCCTGTTGCTCACCTTGGTGCAACACATGATGTTGGCCGAAGAACTGGAATGCAGATGACTATTATGGCTTTTGGTGTGTTTAACTTTGCTTTATTTTTTGAATGTAAGTGTGTAACTTATGGGACCATTCTCTTTTGTAGGTGCTTTGGCTGGCCCACCTATCTCAGGTGCAATCAAGCAGAAGCATAGTACTTTCAAGGAGGTTGGCATCTATTCAGGTATGAATACAAGCATTTAAAGATAAAACATAGTTTAATTAATATTTGTATAGGAACTATGGTTGCTATCTCTATTGTCCTAATGTTACTAAGCAAGTTTTATGCACTAAAAAAACTGTATCATGGAAAGTTTTAGATTCAGAATGTATATGAGTAGCTTTCACACTTGCTTTACTATAAATACTGTTAGAGAGAATGACTGATACACAACTTAAGAGATATTGTACTATATAGTTAGTAATAGAGATTGTAACCTTCTAAAGTCATATACATACTTTACAATATATAAATTAGTAGCTAGTAAATACTTAGAATTTATCTTTGTACAATACTTTTGTGCTTACAGTGTGTGTTGAAAGTATTACAATACAATATAATATTTTACATTTTGTCATATATATTAATTTTGTACAACCATATACACAATAATTTAATACAATAGAATTCTTTACTTATTTACAAGTATAATGATGTAAGAAGAAAAACCTACATATTTAGAGAGAATGTTTAATTTTGTAAAATGAATTTGAGAGTAGAGTTGTAATATTTTTACAAATAATACATACACATTAAAATCTCTCTCTGAAACATTCTTTTCCTTATCCTTTGTACTTGTTTATACATTATATTTAATATTTTTACTTCTCCTCTTTAATATTTACTAAGTTAACCTTACTTACTAATTCTGTTTAGTAAATTATAAATAGTTTAGTTTATTTTGAGTATAATGTATTATATATTGTATATTATAAATTATATATACAAGTTTTACTACTTAATCAATATATATATTTATTAAACTAGTTATTTATCAGTTTACTTATAAAGTAACTACTATGTAATAAAACTACTACAGTTATTATATCTTGTTACTATTATAAATATAAATTATAGATTCATAACTATTGTTATAAGCTATTTTATAGTAAAACAGTATGGTATTTGTATAACAAATAAAGAAAATCTTTAGTAAATATATAAGTATAAATTAGTATTTACTTATTTCCTTATATAAATTCAAATATAACTACTTTTCCTTTAAACTGAGTATATTTGTTAGATAAAGGTAAAATATAAATATAATACAGTTATGTAGAAAAAGTGTTTGTCTTTCCTGATTAGACAGATGCATTAGTAAGTAATTTGTATTAACTTATTAGACAGTTTGAGACAACCTTCATCTTGTGTCTCAAACTGTCTAATAAGTTAATACAAATTACTTACTAATGCATCTGCCTAATCAGGAAAGACAAACACTTTTTCTACATAACTGTATATTAGTGTATATAAACATTCTGTAAGTACTATGGATAAATACAGTCTATTAAATGTATTATAATAACCTTGTATAATAAGCCTAAGTATTATATTTGTATTATAATCTTAAAGACAGACTAATATTTACTTTGTAAAATAGTTTATACAAGTTCAATACTACCACGAAGATTGATTACGTAATCACATTCTGAAGATCAAGAGCATATAATGATGCACTTACAGCTACCACTCTTTCTTTCTGACCTCCACCATCTCTCTAAGTCTAACCCTCTGCCCTAACACCATCATCAGGAAAAAGTCACCAGTCATTTTTAATCTTATAAGAGTATATAATATGTAAAATATCAATAATATGTAAAATATCAATAATATGTAAAATGTCATATACTGCTTTCCCTCAGCTGATATTACAGTAAATGATACAGTAAGGTTGAATAATGGCAATAAATATTACAGAAAGCAATGAGAATTATGTGTTATTATAATGCAGGTATAAGATAAATACATATTATAAGATGTATAAGCAAATATACTGCTTTCCCCAAATGATAAGGTGTTGTTTTACTTATTATTTTCTATAAGTCAAATAGCATATTATAATGACATTATAGTCTATTTACAGCTTTATCTGATATTTCAATTAATTATAATATAAATATATTAAATCAAATTAATTATATTGGTTTTGTAGCTAATACACGCAAAAACTACATATTAACAGAAAATGAACTAATTACACTCAAGACCACACCTCCTTGTGCCCTTCTTCCACTGCTCTGCAAGATCGTCCCAGTATTTACGTTCCTCCGCGGAAAGCAAACGCTATCGATTTGAGATCGTCTTGGACAGGTCTGCTTGACACTGACACTGTGTGACAGGATCGCCTTCTGCAGCTGCTGCAGTCTCTGCCTCTTTCTTTTTCAAAACAGCATTCACGATGGAAGGGGATGAATGTGTTTTTGGGCTGGTTGATGTAGTTTTCGTCACTACGCTTTGGTTGTCGCTTGGCCCTGCAAGTTGAATTGCGTGCACGTACGGTGAGCGTCGTGAGGTTGTATGGATTGTGGAGGTTGACGTTGTGCTTGTGAGACAGGTTGGAGGGTGACTTGCTAGGGGGGAGGGGGTCGTTAGCGTGGGCGGATACGAGAAGAGAAGAGAAGAGATAGATGCACCGCAAAGGTGTGCAGCAAATAAGAGTGGTGCACTAGGGTTGAGATCCGGAGCGTTAAAGCCGCTGATTTGGGCTGCAGACGAAACTGTGTACGTGCGCGTTGCATGCTCTGACTACGTCTCACAATCGGAGGTGCACTGAACTGAGTAGTAGTTGTGGATGACTGTAAAGGAGCATCTCTGGGACGTTCTGGCTCGAAGGGAGAGGGTGAAGTGGAAGGTGTGGACGGACTCGGCTCAGGAGGGGTGAGTGGTGGGCCACTGCTTCCGTGATTCGAAATGGTGTCATGGACGACACTGGGGAATGTAAATGCACGCGGTGTGGGTCCACCGGGGGTGATGTCAAGCATGAAATGGTGGGTGGGGAAGGACAGTGCGCGAAGGGTCGGAAAGAGGATTGTGCTTTGGGAGTGGTCGTACATGGACATCGTTGCGATCGTGTGTTCGTTGATTGTTGCTTGCGCTGCAGAGCGGGAAGAAGTACGTTGAAAGCATGTAATTATTGAAGAAGTCGATCAGCATTGGTCAACAATGCGGCTGCACGAATGCAAATGCAAAAAGGAAGGCGAGCGTAAAAAAAGGACGACGACGAAGGAAAGGCAACGCAAGCGGTGGAGCGAGGAGTGGGAGGGATGAAAGGGGGACAAAAGGTTGGGAGGAAAGGGGTGAGCAACTATTGTGCAGGTTATTATGAAGTGGATTGGCTGCTTACGCTTTATGTTGAAACTGGGAGGGGACAGTGTAGTCAGCTGGGTGCATCGGGAAAAAGTCTAAAAGGTTATATTACAATATAATGGTGTGAAAAAAGTAAAAAAGTAAAAAAGTAATTTACATATTATCGGACCTTGATTTATGATAAAGTCATATAACATTGTATAATGTACTATAAGGTTTATGAATGTAATAAAAGTACATAAGGATAATACCCCTTTAAAACATATAAAATGCATAATATCGGACCTCCCTTTTTTGAAAGGTATTATAAGGATTTCTGTATTTCAAAAGGATAATATATGTTTCTAATGTTTTACAGACTATATATAGTTATTATTTCTTCTTGATAATAATTTTCCTTTACATCCATTCATTATTAAATTAATAAAAATCAATTATATTAAAATATTTATACGATACATCACTATCTACAATAATTAAGGAAAATAAACCCGAAACACATACATAGTGCAGTCTGCGTTAAGATTTGTGCAGAGAGCGAGTGAGAGTGTCCGTGTCTGCTGTGATGCGAATACGAGTAGGCAGAGGTTGGGATCGGACCAGACTCGAGCGGCGAACGAGTGCATTACAGGTGTCGATTGCCAGGCCCATACCTTGACCAGATCCAGACGGACCACCAGAAAGCGGGGGCATTGAGAAGCTCAACAGTTATGACCACGTCTGCAGTTGACCCTGTCCTTTCGATCACTCCGCATCACCCATCTCAAAATCAGCAAAGTCCGCCATTTCCACTTCGCGCACGCCACTGCACGTTGTGTACGAATATCCGAAGGGCAGCCATACAGTGAACTATAAGCAGAGGGCGAGTCGGATTCACTGTAGTCGTCAGAATCAGTGGTAGATGCCGATGAAGAGACACTTACAGTACTTACAGTGTATGACGAGCTGCCTCCGCCTTGTTCTTTTTCAAACAGCATTCGTGACGAAAGAGGATGGATGCGTTTTCGGATTGTTTGATGTAGTCTTCGTCACTACGTTTTAGTCGTTGCTCCGTCCCTACGAGTTGAATTACGCATGTATGCGGGTTGTAAGATTGCACAAGTTGTAGAGGTTGCTGTTGCGCTTGTGACACAGGTTGTGAGATTGACTGGCTGAAAGTGTAAGCGTGAGCGTTGGCATTGGCATGAGTGGATAAGTGGATCGAGGAGATGGACACACCGCGACAGTGCGAAGCAAGTGTGAGTGGTGCACCGGGGTTGAGATCCGGAGCGTTGAACGAGCTGATTTGGGCCGCAGGCAAAGCCGTGTTTGTACGTGCGCGTTGCATGCTCTGACTACGTCTCACAATCAGAAGTACAGTGGGCTGAGTAATTATGGATAGCTGCAAAGGTGTATCTCTGGGAGGTTCTGGCTCAAAGAGAGAAAGTGAAGTGGAGGGTATGGACAGACTCAGCAGAGGGGTGAGTGGTCGACCACTGCTTCCGATATTCGAAACAGTGTCATGAACAGCACTGGGGAATGTAAAGGCATGTCAAGCTTGGAACAGTGGGTGGGGAAGGAGAGCGCGTACGGCGTCAAAGACAGGGTACCATGGGAGTGGTTGTACCTAGACATTGTTGCGAGCATACCTGTAGATTGTTGCTTGTGCTGCAAAGCGGGAAGAAGTATGCGAATGCGTGGAGTTATTGAAGAAGTCGTTCGACATTGGTCAATAATGCGGATGCAGATGAAAAATGAAGGTGAGTGTAAGGAAAGAAGGACAATAACAGAGAGGCAACGCAAGCAGCAGAATGAGGAGCAGAAGGGATGGAAGGGAGACAAGAAGTTGGGAGGAGAGGGATGAGCAACTATTGTGCAGGCGATTATGAAGTGGACTGGCTGCTTACCGCTTTACGTTGAAGGACGGTGTAGTCAGCTCGGTGGCATCATCGCGGGATCTGAGGCTCAGCACGGGCATCGCAGCGGCAGATTGGAGAGACGAGTACGTGATGTTTATTGCCTATGTTGAAGCAGGCAGAGTGCCCGCCGGTGGGACGCTTGTAGGCAGAGGACTGGGCTAGAGAGAACAAGAGCAGCAACTTAGCATTGAACGGGTGGTAGAGAGTTGTAGGAGATGGTGGAGGCATGAGATAAAGAAGTGACGAGGACAAATGCGTCATTATAAGCACTCGATCTTCAGCAGTCGATTATGTAATCAACGTTCGTGATAGTAGCAAAGCTGTAAAACAAATCAATTATTGTATTTAGATGTAAAATAAATGTATAAATTTACTTTATAATATAGCTAATAGTACTCTAGCATGTATATATTCTCCTAAATACAGTAATATAAATATTATAAGTGGTTGAAACCCTTATACAGATAACACAATCTGTTTTACAATGTAAATATAAGACTATTTTCAAAATTATAATCTAAGTATAATACTTTAGCTTATAATTTAAGGTTATCATAATGTATTCAATGAATTTTAATCATTTATAACACTTTTAGAGTCCCTATATACATTAATATTCCTTATTTTAGTATTATAATTGTGTTCTAACCCTTACAGTCATATTATAATGTATATAAAATGTTTCTACTACTTTAAATGGACTGTAATTCATTATATTTAAATGGACTTTTTCCCGATGTGGCATTGTTGCAGAATCTGAGGGTCAGCACAGGCATTGTAATGACAGATTGGAGAGGTAAGCACAGAGCCAGAGTGTGCTGGAGGACACATGTGAGTCGACTGAACTAGAGAGAACAAAAGCAACAACATGGTGGCAGACCTAGGGCAGAGGGTTATGGGAGATGGTGAGAGTCAGAGGCAAGGAGTGACAAGTGTAAATGCATCATAAATGTTTAAGTACAAAATCCTATGTGATACTTGAGCATTACATAAGTTGAGTCACATTTATCAACAGTTCTTTTATGAAAAATGATCATTATAATAATAATAGAGATATTTATTAGGCTTGTAATCTTACAAAAAGAATTCCTACTTATTATAAACATTTATAAAACTTTCATACATTTATATAAGTACAGAAAAGGCCTTTTTAATATATTATATATTAGATATAAGTCTTTTTCAACAAATATAAGATTATTATAATGCTTTTACTCTCTATATATAACTATTAAAATGCATGTACTCTTTATATAAAACTATTAAAATACATTTACTATATTATATTTATGAATAATACTTATGGAACTCTTATAAGAGTATATAATACTGATTTTTACTTTATAACTGAATTAAATACTCATAATTACTATATAACCTACATATTAAACATATTATACTTTATAAGAGCTATAAGATCTTATAATAATTTTGTGTTTTTCCTGATGATGTCATTACTTTTGTTCCCTCCAGCCTAGTCCTCTGCTTACAAGAGCCTAGACAATAAACATTACTGTACTTGTCTCTTCAATCTGCTATTACAATGCTTGTACTGAGCCTTGAGCCTGTAACAATACTACTCAGCTGACTACACTGTCCCCTCCAGGTTTTAATGTCAACAGTCAAGTGTAAGCAGCCAGTCCACTTTATAATAAGCTACATGTTAGATGCTCATCCCTCTTCTCCCAACTTCTTTGTCTCCCTTCCATTCCTCCTACTCTGCTACTTGCATTGCCTCTCCTTTGTTGTCCTCCTTTTTTTATACTTGTCTTTCCTTTTTGTATTCACATTCATACATCTGTGTTGACAAATGCTGAACAACTCCTTCAATATTCTATACACTTGTGTATTTCTTCCTGCTTTGCAGTACAAGCAAGGATTGAGAAGTACAAGCCTACAACAATACCTATGTATGTTTATTCCTATTGTGCCACCCTCTTACTTACTCTGTGTCTGTTCTCCTACCCAACTCGTTCAATACTTGACATCACTCTTGATAGACCCACACTACATTACATTTACATTCATTTGTGCTAGGCATGTCACCACATTGAACAGAAGTAGTGGCCCACTACTCACACCTGTCCAAGTTGAGTCTGTACATGCTTTCCACTTCACCCTCTCCCTTCGAGCCAGAACGTCTCAGAGATACATCTTTACAGTCGTCCACAATGACTCAGTTCACTGCACCTCTGATTGTGAGACGTAGTCAGAGCATGCAACGTGCATATACAGACATGGCTTTGCCTGCAGCTCCGAGTCAAATCAACTTGTTCAACACTCTGGATCTCAACACTGGTGCACCACTCACACCTGCTGCACACTGTTCACAGTGCATCCATCTCCTCAATCCAGTTACCCACTCATGCCAATGCCAATGCTAATGCCAACACTCATGCTCGCACCCTTAGCCAGTCAATCTCACAATCTGTTTCACAAGCACAACCCAACCTCCACAACCGACAGGCACACACAATTCAACTATTCAACTTGTAGAGACTGAGCGACGACCAAAACGTGGTGACGAAGGCTACATCAAACGACCCGAGAACGTGTTCATCCTCTTCTGTCGTAAATGCTGTTGGAGAAAGAATGAGGCAGAGGCAGCTTGTCACACTATAGTGCAAGTACTGTGAGTGTCTCTTCATCAGCATCTACCACTAATTCTGACGACTACAGCGAATTTGGCTCGCTTACAGAGGCCCATTCGGATGTCTGCACACGACGTGCAGTGGCGTGCGCAAATGGAGATGGCAGACTTTGCTGAGCAGAGTGCTTGCAAGGGCAGGGTCAACTGCAGACACTGTCATTACTGCTGAGCCTCTCAATGCCCTTGCAGTCAACCAGCACACCAGGTGCACCACTATTACTATGTATGCATTCTCGGATTATTTTCCTCCTTGATTATTGTAGATAACAATGAATTATATAAAATACATTAATATAATTATTTTTGTTATTTTAATAATAATCTGGATGCAAAGGAAAATAATACATATTACAAGATATACAGCTTTGTATAGTCTGTAAACAATTACAAAGATATATTATCCCTTTAAAATACTGAAATACTTATTATACCTTTTAAAACAGGGAGGTTAGTTATAATCCATTTCACATATTTTGAAGAAGTATTACCCTTATGTACTTTTACAATAATAAGAATCCTTACAGTATCTTATATTTACACCATTATATTCTAATATAAGCCTCTGGGCTTTTTCACAATGATCTTTGGATAGACTAGACAGCAAAGTATTGACATTCTGTAGTATGAAAAGATAATATCGACTTTTTAATCATATATATTTGCAAGTTCTTTAAGTAGATCACTATCAATTTGCCTCAATGTACGAGGCTCAACTTTGCAATGAAAATGTTTTGGATGCCTAAAGATAATGTTAGTTAGAATAGTTAAAGATAAGAAATTAAGAAGATTTACGATGTATGGCCAGATGTGAATGCAACTTCTGGTACTAATGGCACCCCAGATGAGTCGTTTATTGGCTTGATATCAAATGCCCAAAGAACACATGATATTGTCATGAAAAGCGACACTTCAGCAAAATTTTGACCAGGGCAGGATCTATATATACTTAATCTTGTATATTAGCTTTGATGTAGTAAACATACCTTCTTCCGAACCCAAAGACACATGTGCTCGGATCAGGCTGTCTAAATTCAATCTTGCAGTTTATGAAACGTTCAGGTTTAAAGGAGTGAGGATCCGGATAGACAGTTTCATCATGCATCATACACCTAAAGTGATATTGTTATATGTATGAGTGTACAGTCTCTCACGTATATTATCAGTATCGCACCAAATATTTCCCATAACCCATGCTCCTGTTCATAATTTATTAGTTGGTAAACAATACTGTATTAAGAATAAAAATACCTTGTGGAATAGTGTATCCATTGTATACATCATTTCTCTCTGGACTATGTACCAAGATTGGCACTGGAGCATGGAATCGTAGTAGTTCTTTTACAATACAGTTAATGTATGGTAGAAATTTCCGGTCTGAAATACGTGGAGATCGGTTGTCACTCAATAAGTCATCCAACTCCTTTTGTCCCCTAGCCTGGATTTCAGGATGTCTTGTCATCATAAGGAAGAAGAGTCGTGTGACCGACGTAATCTTTTTACAGGTCAGTTAGCATTTATACTTATAGAAAGCATCTTTCTTACTCACAGTATCTGTGCCGCCTTGTGACCAAGAGCAGACAAGTTTTCAGACCTTTGTAAAATAAAAAGGCAATTGTACACACCTGAATACATACTTGCTGATGTATACTGCAAAATCTCCTCTTCTTCACTATGTGGTTCACAAAGTCTTTGAAGATGAAATGATGTGAAGCTCGGGATGAAGCGGCCGCTTGTCTATGTATGACACAACATAAGAAGCTAGTGTCCTTACTACAGCATTCACTTACCATTGACTTCTTTACAAAATCATGAGGTGCTTGTGTAAATGCTTCACACTTTTGGCCAGCACTCTCAGCCCAGGATTTGAATTGCATTCCTGGTAGCCATGATGGAAGATATTGAACTATTTAAAAAATAAGAGAAGTCCAAAGACAACACATTATCCGAACAAACTCACTGAACGGGAACGAATCCACAAGCCAGCGGCCTGGCTCTGTTGCCTCTGTTGTCAACTGTGCAAGCTTTTCAGCAAGTTGCACAAAGAAGTCATCCTTGTAGTTTATCTCGTAACCATAAACAAGCTTCAAGATGATAGCAGATGGTAGACTAAAACAGATGGACGTCAACTTTCACTGACTATATGTATGTTAAACAGTTATATACCTTTTAATACTGTCATATATATCTTCCCGATTTCTAAATAGTCGATACAGATAACGGTATGTCTCTTCCTCAATTATGGGTAGATACCCGTTCTCTGAGCGAGCTCCAAGGAATGCAATCATCAGCTTCCTTGTTTCTCTACATCTGGGTCCGTAACGAAGAAAAAGTGCTGTCTTGTCTCGGCCAACTAGCCTAGCCATAGGCTTTGAACTCTGTGAGTAAGGCATTGAATGGACATAAACATGCACCAGAAACAAACCAATTCTGGACGGCTAGAATGAATGGAGGACCTCCTTTCAAATATATCTACAGCAACTCGGAAGTCATTGACCACAACAAAGGTCCTGAAAAATATTCTAAATGATGAAATTGGACCTTGTAATTCTGTAGTTCAACTTATTGAGTTAGAAAAAAGTTAAATGTTGTACTGCACCATAATGTGTTTTCCAAGTTGCAAAATGCTTCATTGAATCGCTTCCCGGTAATTGGAATAAATTTCCAACAATAGGAAGGCCAAAAGGGCCTTGAAAAAAATGAGGTGCAATACAAATGAAACAGCTTAAAAAGGCTCACCAGGAGGGAGGCAAAGTCTCACACTTGAGAAAGCTTTGCAGATTACAGTGACTGGTATTGCGGCAAGAACAGCCAAGACAAGGAATAGGATGTACGAAAACATGGGAAGAACTGGCACGCCTATGGATTAGGTTTGGAGGAGAGGGAGCCAGATTATCACTAAAAGGATACTAGTAAAAGGTGCTTAGATATTGTATGTCGGCTAGTCTGACAGCAGGTTAGAAGATTACCGACAACTATTCAGTGATGATTGATCACACAGAACTTCCATTCTTAAACTGTCAGTACTATAAGTAATGATCATCACACACGGAACTTCCGTTCTTAAACTGGCAGTACTATAGCTCTATCTAAAGCAGTACACAGTATGGCAACTGTGAGTGAAACTAGACTTGTCCTTGTTGAAGCAGTGTTACTCAAGATCACCTTGATCACCAAGCTATGAAATGGAAGTCTTTAAAGGCAATAGACGTGTCTCATAAAACCTAACTATAAGTTATTCTGCCATCTCTTCAATACAGGAGGCACGTGTGGGAAGAGCAGCCTTGTAAAGATCACCAAGATCACCGAGTTACGATATGAAATTTTTTTCGAAGAGACAAATGTGTCATATCAAACCTAACTATAAGTTATTCTGCCATCTCTTCAATACAGGAGGCACGTGTGGGAAGAGCGGCCTTGTAAAGATCACCAAGATCACCGAGTTACGATATGAAAATTTTTTCGAAGAGACAAATGTGTCATATCAAATCTAACTATAAGCTATTCTGTCATCCCCTCATTACAGGAGGCACAGGTGGGAATGAGCAGCCTTGTAAAGATCACCAAGATCACCGAGTTACAATATGAAAATTTTTTCGAAGAGACAAATGTGTTATATCAAATCTAACTATAAGCTATTCTGTCATCTCTTCATTACAGGAGGCCCAGGTGGGAGCAGCAGCCTTGTAAAGATTACTAAGATCACCAAGTTATGATATGATTTTAAAAAAAAGAAAACACATGTGTCTCACCAAACCTAACCATAAACTATCTGGCCATCTTTTAAATGCTGAAGATGCAGATGTTGATACTCAGAAAAGTTTTTGTAGACAACAATGTTTTTCTAGTACCAAGTTTCCTGAGAATACAGGGGACAGATGTGAAGGGTAGAATGGTAAAGGTCACCAAGATCACTGAATTATAAAATAGAGCATTTTCAAAGACAGGAGATGTGTTATTGAATTTATCCACTGGACATTGTCTATCTCCTGAATCTAGGAGGCAAATTTGGGAAGAGTAGTACTGTACACTCCTACCATTAATTCTGCCCAAGCAATGCTCAAAGATCTGTTCAATTCTACTTTGATTGTAGTAGCTGTAGATAGAGTTTATAGAATTCAACAAAGTTAATGTATTTTATGTAATGTAACAAATCTTCTCTGAAGATAAAGGTTATGTGACGTGAATGCTATGTGAGCTCTTACAATTGTCCCCTTGAGGACAAGGGTGCAAACAAAGATGATTTTTTGAATGCTTTAATAGTTTCGCATGCTTTTTCATAAATTTGGAGATAGTTACAGTAATACAATGTAACTACGCACATGACGAACAAAAGGAAATTCAAGCTTTTGCTTTGAGAGATTTGGACTGTGATTCATATGGAATGCAAAGAGCTGTCTGGGTAGCAACAGCCAAGCATACTTGCTCTTCCCTCCATAGATCCTTGTTTGAAGAGCTGGCATTGTCTGACGGAGCTGTCCACACTTCAACGTACGTCTCATGCCGTCCCAAGGGGTCCTGCAAGAAGCGGCCAAGTGAGTACAGCCCGAGAGTGTGTTGAGTGTGTAAATGAAGCCGAATTGGTGCCTTAAATTCTATCGTCATCGTCAGGGTAGCATACCATCTATAATTGCATAAATCAGAGAACAATTGGTACAAAAGATTAGATTACGAACGTCTTGCCTAGCAGTGGGTTCTCTTCAGATGGTAAGAGTTCTGGGAGAGGTTTAATAATGTCTGCACAAAACGGTAACATGCTTGGGCGTAGCGGCTCATCATTGTCCTTGAACGTAAGCCAGGAGCCAAATTCAAGACCAGGGGGTTCCCTGGTAGAAGCATCCTCACTTGACGCAAGGGTGCGATTCTCTGCCTCATTAAGACCCAGTAAGACAATGTCCTCTTTACCACTAATTCGCTCCTTAAAATTCCAAACGTCGTACAATGGAATTTCGCGAGCATGCAGTGGATGCGTACGAAGTGGAATCTGGCGGGCAAACAAAGAAGGGGGTACGAGAGCCTTCTGTTCCTGTTGTTGCCCGTTGTCGCCATTGTTCGGATAGGATGCACCAAAAATGACATGTGCAAGTACTTTAGTCTGTTCCTACACTTGTGCTTGAGGATACATAAAACACTTAAAGCAGAAGAAATCCTACATTTTGAACCAGTTCTGCTTGGACATTGTTCAAAGACGAACCGCCTTTGATCAATTTCACACGAATGCTAAACGGAGCAGCGGCTGGAAGAGCATTTCCTGGGGCATTTTTTGTTGCCAACGCCTGTACTGGTCGAATGAAATGGGCTGATACGTGAATGGGCTCTACGACTTTTGGAGGATGCAATTTTTGGTGGGCAATGCAGGCTTCGAGAATAAGGCCAATAACATATCCTGTATTTACAATGAGTTACAGTGAATTAAGATGAGACAAGCCACACACCTCCATTCGGAACACTGCAGACACAATCAATAAGCCAGGTAAGCATGCAAACTAGTGTAGACAACTCAAACAGACATACACAGAGACGGTCCAGTCCAAGTCAACAAGGCCACTCCACACACTTTCACCAGCCACAGACGCTTCTTCAGCCCTCCTCACACTCAAGGCTTCATAGAGGGGAGCCATTCTCTGGTATGCTGATTAGATGAAGGTAAACAATTGTAGTGGGAAAGATGCTGCAAAGAAGTGCTGAGTGCAATATAGTGTCTATCTCCTGTCGCTGGAAGTAGAACTTATTACTAAGCAAACACCAAAGTAGCAAACAGTTGAGACGGACCCCAGGCAGCAACCTGTCACAGGTTTAATTAATGGGATGCGAAGTAGAAGCTGCAGAAGCCACTCACTCATAACAGATTGGTGATACATATACAAAGTCGGACATCAGAGTTCTCCGTACAATGACAGGCGTTCATCTAGCCTAGTTCCCAATATGTCTTTGAGGCATCAATACCCCCATCTCCTGATGCTGATGCACCACTGTTGGCACTGTCGGCGGAATTTACCTCAAACAGCCGGTACAGCCCCTAAGTATTTGCATCTGATAAGCCCATAATCAAGTGTAATGACCTACAGATCGTTCTCCACTTCCCAGTACGCTTCTGACTCGAACAGATACCATATTGCAAACACATTTACTCAGAGCCATTCATCAGGGCAACAACATAAATGTCTTCAGAGGATATTCAGCCTTTGCTTCTCGAGCTCCACAATGCACTCGTTGATACAGACGCAGTTTCTACTCATACAAGTGACTTAGAGGCATTTTCACAATCAAAGTATCCTCAATACACTGGTAGGTCGTGTTCTTTAGCTACTTTATGTTGATTCAAACTAGTTTTTACCCAGGTGTACCTCATGCACTTGTTGTACATGTTAGGACAACCGACGAGGTTGTCAAGGTTGTCCGTCTAGCATCAAAGTATCGTGTTCCTATAGTACCTTATTCTGCTGGAACCAGTCTTGAGGGCAATGTAAGTAGCATTCTCTTTGAGACTACTATTTCTACCAAACCTATTAATGGGTGCTGAAGGTATCTGGGAATAAGAAAAGCATCTGTATTGACCTCTCTCGGATGAATCAAATTCTGAAGATTAATGGTCTGTTTGCATTACATTAACTAATATAGTGATGTGAACTCAGCACCAAACTACAGAGGATGACGCAGATGTTGTATGCCAAGCAGGTGTTGTTTGGAATGAGCTGAATGATTGGTTGAAGGCTAGAGGTAAGTTCTCTCTGTAGAGGACAGTATCTATTGTCTAATTGTTTCTTAGAAATTCCCCTGTTCTTTCCTGTTGGTAACATTTTCTCCTCAGCTGCAAACTAATATCTAGGCTCATAACTATCCAAATAGCTTGATCCTGGAGTTGGAGCAACGATTGGTGGTATGATTTCGCAAGGTTGCTCTGGAAGTAAGTAAATGCTTAATGTATAGGTTGAATGTATTAACAGTATTCCTCTTTAAAAGCTAATGCTGTCAGATATGGAACTGCAAGAGGAGAATTAATCTTAAACCTTGTAAGTTGTTATATATGTTTTCTCATACATACTTGTAATACTACTTGTTTTAGACTGCTGTTCTGCCTTCAGGCGAAGTCATTAAGACACGCCAGCGTGCTCGTAAATGTGCTGCTGGTTTTGATCTAACCAAGCTCTTCATTGGTGCAGAAGGTACTTTAGGAATCATTACTGAAGGTTGTCACATTACACACTTAGTATTACCAAGTGCTCAATACTCTTATTGTAGCTACTCTCAGATTGGTGCCACGACTTCCTGTGTCAGTATCTGTTGTTTCATTTCCTAATGTTAGGAGTGCTACACAAGCTGTCTGTGAAGTTCTGAATCATGGTGCTACTATTCGTGCGTTATATCTGTTGTTTGTTCCTCTTTACTCTTGATAAGTTATTTCCACTCAAAACATATATAGAATGTGCAGAGCTGGTCGATGACTTGTACATTCGATCTGTGAAGCAATATGGTACATTTCCAGTAACATGGGATGAAACAGATACAGTCCTTTTTAAACTCCAGGGGTCTGAGGCAGTTCGGATGGACACAGTAAAGACTGTTGAGACAGTTACACACAAATACGGTGGCTATGGCTACATGCATATCACAAAGGAGGACGATGTGGAATCACTCTGGGCAGATCGCAAAAATGCTCTATTTGGCCTACTAAAGATGTATCCAGGAAGTAAAGGGTTTATAACTGACGTTTGGTGAGTGATTTTATACCTAGATTATGTACTATCAGTATTTATATCATATGGCAGTGTGCCAGTCTCAAAGCTGCCTGACTTGATTGTTGCAACAAAACAGGAACTATCTGTACGAAATCTAGTTTCGCCTTTAGGTGGTCATGTTGGAGATGGTAAGTATCTGCTATCTTACCTTCTTTCTACTCATGAATTAAACTACAATTTACAAAACAATGAAGGAAACTTCCATTGTTTTATTCTATATCAGGACAACAAGGAGCTGGAACTTGTGAAAGAAGTTGTGGATGTGATGATTCACAAAGCAATAGCACTGGAGGGAACATGTGAGCTTACAGAGTATTATATTCAAATTTATATTTAATACTAATTGCAACATTACTTATACAATAATGGTGAACTACATTTTAAGGTTCTGGAGAGCACGGTATAGGGCTTGGAAAGAAAGATTATCTTACAAAAGAGCTTGGAAACGGAACTGTCTCACTAATGAGAGCAATTAAAGCATCCTTGGATCCATTGAACCTTTTTAATCCTGGAAAGGTATGTAATATTAGTATTCTCTCAATCTGTAAACTTTTTACTCATTATTATACAGCTGTATCCAGACTGATAGTTTCTCAACCACATACAACTGCTCTGTATAAGATATGTTGTAAAGCATTCTTATACTCCTTTGTGATAAATATATCTGTCTCAGAAACTATAAGTAAAGAAACCAGCTACTATAATATTTATTTAAAACTGGTAGCCATATTGTGATTGTAAGCAGAAAAGCCAGTGAAAGAAATTAATCTCTTATTATTGATTTTTCCTAGAATAACTCTAGAAAAGACTAGAAGGACTTGGAAATCAAACTTTAAAGTTTAGCAAATTCTAAGTATAAATAAGATAGAACATCAAGAAAGTACATATGATAATTGCTAAAGTTATGATTCTAGACATTGCTATCTATTCATCAGTATGAGATACTATCAAGGGGCTTGAATTCTATTTGATATAAATATCAGAGATCTGATGATAGGATCAATGAGTTTCAGTGATTATCACACATACAAATAGGATAAAAGAACGCCTCTTAGCTAGCCTAATGTAAGGATAGGTATACTAGCCTTACACAAAGATTCTCTCTTTACCAGCACACTCAACTACTAACTGGGATAACCTAGTAATCGAGCACTGAGAAGGAGAAAGAATCCCCTAACCCTTAGCTCGAAAACCCTTTATATATGTGTATACATGTGTAGTAGGATACAGGGTAGTCTAGTGAACAAAAAGGAAAACACTCACAAGCACCTACAACACATGTTGTGCAAATGCACAGGTAGCACAATTGTTACACTTGCCCTCTAGCATTTAGTCCTAAATGCTAAGGGAGTTAGTACCAGAATAAACAAAATAACAATACAAAAACAAAAGAAAATGTTAGTAACTTACTACAAAGTTCAGTACTACTGTGCTAGGATGTTCTCCATAGTCATGAATGTGTCTTCAATCAGTCCTATAGTGGACTGGACATGTTCCTGTCTGGCTTGGACATGTTCTACAGTGGAACTGGTGGAACTCACAGTAGATTGGTTGGAATAGCTATCAGATTAAGTAGAAAGCAGTAGATTCAGTAGTAGAGTAATGCCTTAAGTATCAAATGAGTTTAGAGCACTCATATCAAGTACTAAAGTAAGATCAGTAGACATTAAGAGTAATTGTGAATTGATCTGAGAGTGTTTACAGTTGTGTGAGTAGAATATAGTGGTTCTATTGTCAATTTGCTTAGCTCTACACTTTGCACCTAAGTAAAATAGTAAGGTACATATGCTTGTAATAATATAATGTAGAATATATACACATTTACCTTAGTTTGAAGCCATGTTCTTATGGTATACAAAGTCCTGGAACACTTGTATCATCTTAGTATATTGAACACAGTCTTAGAATGGTGGTAGTAGGCTCAGTCTTGTATGAGAAGGAATGTGGAAGTTATACAAGTGTAATATAATGAGATAACACTCCAGGAGTTGTATAGTAGGGTTGAGAGAATTGTTGTGGATAGCCTTAGAGAAAGCTGTAATCTTCTTAAGCTCCTCTTGATTGAAAACATAGTTAGTGCTTGTACTGTAGTTATGAGTAACCTAATTCTGAGTGATTGGTTGTACTTGAGAACCAACTAAGAGTTGTAGAGGAGGATGAGGCAAATTTGTGCCTTGTAGAAAAGCAGATACAAATGTATGAGTAATAGATTCTTGAGTAGTAGACATGATATACACAGTAAAGTGACTATATGTACAGTTTTTAAAGCCTTTACATACATCTACCTGTATGTCTATACTGTAGCATTGTGTTTGAAAGGTTGCCTCATGTTTTACTAGACTGATACTAACTTGAGGGTCATCAGTATTGAGTTTTCCCTTTCCTAGAGTTAGTACATTAATAGAATCAATTCTAAGTATGTTTAAGTATTCCTTTAATGCCTTAAGGTGTGCAATTTTATCATAGGGTAGCCATGTGTGATCTCTAGACTTTCATAGTACTTTGAACAAAGTAGTAGTCCCTTGTCCTGCATGAGTTTCAATTGAATCTACTGTCCATTCCTTGTTCTCATTGTTTAATCCAGTAACTTGTCCTACTTCCCTTCCAGAGAATAATCTATCATTGTTTGGAACATGTATCCTAAGTAGTAATGAATGAAATACAGAGTGTATATTATGATTCCTTATTTCCCTAGGTAGATCTAGTTCAAATGCCTTGTTTCCTACATTCTAGATTATTCTATAAGGTCCTATGTACTTTGGTACTAGTTTCCTTACTTACTGTCTTAGTAGATTCATGTTCTTTGTAGAAACATACACTAGATTGTTTAATTCAAAGGAAGAGGGTTGTCTGCATCTATTAGCATGTCTAGTTTGCTTTACCCTTGCCTGAAGGATTGTATTGTGTACCTGTAGTATTGTATCCTTTACTTTCTGAGTGTAAGTCCTTACTCTAGGATATTCATCCTTCCTAGAGTTGTTCCATATTAAGTTCCTTAGCATCTGACTGTAATTTAGAAAGAATAGTACATATCCTATAGTTTCTAACCTTACTGTATTGATAGTATACTCAATCATAAGTAGTTTATGTATTCAATCTTTTTGTTTAGGAGAAATACACTGTCTGAGCATCTGAGTAATTGTTCTGTTCATTCTCTCAGTCAATCTATCAGTCTGTGAATGATATACACTTGATAGCTTTAATTTAATACCTATAAGTTTATGTAATCTTCTCCAAAACATACTAGTGAATAGGGAATTATGATTACTAACAATGTAATTAGACAGTCTATACAGTTTATAAACATTTTCAAATACTATCTTTACAATTTCTCTTACTCTGTATGTTTGCCTAGTAGTAAAACTCCTGTAAAGTGTCTAAGAGAAGAACACAGGTAATTTGTTAAGTTTGAGGGGGAGCTAAACCACAAGTCTTAGGAGACTAGAGTGGTTCTGAACAGGTGTGAGTTCTTCCAGCACAGTTGCAACCTTGGAAGAGAGATGTGAATAATGGAACATACACTTTGCAAAGTACACAACAAACAATCTGATACAGAAACAATGAAGACTAAGACTATGCCTTATGCTAGAGGACTTTGAGACAAGAGACAAGAGCTAAATCAATGAGTGAACTATCTGAATTCCCCCTGTATCTAGTATATGAGTAGCTGTATTTATAGTTTTCTGAGTTCTAGAAAGGTGTAATACTAACAGGGAAATGTTAAGACTGAACAAAAGAAAAATAACAAAATATACAAGAACAAATAAGAGAACCTTTTGCCAGAGGTTGGAAGAAAATAGGGTGAAAATGCATAAGGAAAATATAAGTGGTCTGTATTCTAGCTACAGGAAATGTTATACAAAAGGGAAAAGCAAGATTTACATTGAAAGAAGTAGAAGGTTCTTATACTGTTATCATCTGATTAGTACAGACAAAGTGTAGAGAGTTCCAAGATTTCCAGCAGTCTTCTGAGATTAACACTTTGATTACTCTAATGTCCTATCTGATTAGAAGATTGTAGTACTTTAATCTAGGCAATAATAATGTAATAGTTTGCTGAGCCACTCACTGTAATACAACTTGTGTTCTGAGCCTATAATAAGTATGTAATCTATACATCCTGTGGAGAAAACAATGTGTGTAAGCTAATTCTGAGACTGTACACACTTGTAGTTCTATTTGTGAATACTTGTAATACAGAATAGTTGAGTGTTCTCAGAGTAGGCTTCTATAAGTCACATAGGTGTTCAGAATTGATTATTATGATTGTCTGTATATAATGTACAGTTCTTAGTGTGATCCTAATTGTTTTATCTCCTAGTGTGTCTACTTGTGACTGTTTACAGTCACATGGTTGATTTAATAATTAGTAGGCTGAATGTAAGTTCTGTGTGTGTGTGAACCTTGTTACTTATTCTTTCTACTTCCTTCTATCACTCTTACTATGTTATTACTACTCTTTAGTAAATCTAACAGTAAGTGTTATACTCTTTTCTACTCTTTTTATACTAATTTTGTGATTTTCCTCAGAAATTGTATGTGTAACAATGTAGTAACTAGTAAGGGAATAGACATGAATAACAAGCTAGTTGAACTTACACTTAGTAAGTACCTCTGTAAAGTACATTGTCTCTAGCTTATATACTAATGTACTCTATAGGTTCTGACACAGAAAACAAACTAGAGGACAAGGTTACAAAGGAGGAAACTAACAAATTGACTACAGATTCTGAGTCTGAAGACAAAGAGAGCTTAGACAATAACACTTACAATAATAATGATTCAGAGGGTAAGAAGGTTTTGTCTGTACTAGTAGAGAGTTAATCTGACAGTAAGTCTTCTATTTTTTAATTTCTAATCTGTCTACTAATACAGAACATCTTATAAATTATAAGACAATAGTAGAGGAGCTTACAAATATAAAGGAGGACAAGACTACTATTAGAGTGAAAGTAAAGGTAGAGGTTAAGAAAGTAATACAAGTTAAGGTTAAGAAAGAGGCTTAGACTAAGGTAAAGAAGGAGAAGGAGAGGGGAAAGGAGAAGGAGAAGGAGAAGGAGAAGAAGAGGGAGAAGGAGAAGGAGAAGGAGAAGGAGAAGGAGAAGGAGAAGGAGAAGGAGAAGGAGAAGGAGAAGGAGAAGGAGAAGGAGAAGGAGAAGGAGAAGGAGAAGGAGAAGGAGAAGGAGAAGGAGAAGGAGAAGGAGAAGGAGAAGGAGAAGGAGAAGGAGAAGGAGAAGGAGAAGGAGAAGGAGAAGGAGAAGGAGAAGGAGAAGGAGAAGGCTACAGTCTTAGTACAGTTAGTAACAAAGTAGAAGGATAGGAAGGAAAAGAAGGAGTCTAAAAGTATGTATATAAGTATAGTTAACAAATTGTATATAATAACTAACTATTTACACAGGTTCTAATACTGTTACAAATACAGAAAAGTCAAAGATAGTAGTAGAAAAGGGAAACAAGCTAGGTATAAATTAAACATATAGTTAACAAATTGTGTACTACTAATATTGTCTTTACTTAGTTTTTAAAGAATTTACAAAACTAGAAAAGAAAAAGTCAGTTGTAGAGAAAGAGAAGGTTGACACAAGA